GCAGGGTCCGATCACGTCCTGCGTCCCATCCCGCTCATCTGTCCTCGTCGTCGTCGTCGTCTTTCTCCTCCTGCCTTTGGCTTCCTCCTTCTCGTTCACTGCTTTGTCGACTTCTCTTAGCGATCTCTTCTTCTACATGTTCTTGGTCTTCTTCTCCTTCGTCCTCCTCATCGTCATTCCTGTTTGGACAAGCGCGTTCCACTGCTCGGTAAGTAACTACTCGCACATGGCCTGGTTCCGCCGCGGGGGATTTACGATATATTGATCGAAGCACACATGTGTGTTTTCAGACGTTTGGGAGTGGGCGATTTGAGAGTAGTGGAACGCGCTCGGTGACTGCTCCTCCTCCTCCTCCTCCTCCTCCTCCTCCTCCTCCTCCTCCTCCTCCTCCTCCTCCCCTATCCCTGCTCCCCCTCCCGTCACCCCTCCTCCTCTCTGCCTCCGCTCGCCCCCTGCCGCCCTCCCCCTCTGCCCTCCCCCGCCCCCCCCTCTGCCCGCCCCTGCCCCCCCCTCCCCCGTCGGCGCCGACGGCGCCTCTCCGCGGAGAGCTGCTCCCCGAGGCGACGGGCCTTCTGCCGCGCGCGGGGCGCCCGCGCACAGAGGCGCAGGCCGACGCCGCTCGCCGCCGCTCGCCGCCGCACCGCCGCCCGCGGCGTTGCCGCCGCGGTCGTCTTCGGCCGCCCCCGCGCCGTGCGCCGTCGCGTGCGCCGCCGTCGCCCCTCGCCGTCGTCCGCGGATGGTCGCTCGTCGCTCCTTCGCGGGTGCGCCGTTCGCGCGAGTCGGCACCGGCCGGCTGGTTCGCGCGCCTCGTCGGGGGCAGGGGGCCGAGGGGCAGGACTGGGGGGGCACAGAGGGGTGGATGATGGAGGGGGGGGAGGAGCAGGAGGAGGGAGGATGGACGGAGGAGGAGAAGCAGCCAACGCAGCAGCAGGAGCCGCCCCTGGACCCAGATCCGCTTTAAAACAACAGCAACTCCTGCGCGATCTGTTCGATCCGAGTGGCAGAAGGGTGGACGAGGGAGGGTGGGGGCGGTGCTGGACGGCATCCTCCCCGAGCAGAAGATGCCCTCGGTCCTCGACCAGCAAGGGCCTGGAGCGTAAAAGAAACGTGGACAATCGATCCGCATCCCTGGCGCCCTCGACCTGTGGGCGGCGCCCTTCTCTGGCGCTCCTCCATGCTCCCATCCAGCACGGCAGGCAGGAGGCACTTGCGTGACGTCGGGCATGTCCTCCTACAGGCGGATTTTGGAGAAGAGGAGAAGATAGTCAAAAAGTACTCAAACATGACCACAAAGGATGGGGCGGGTGCACCCGCACAGGCGGATCCCACCGGGGTGGGTGCACCCGCACAGGCGCATCCCACCCGGCGAGGAGGTAGAGGAGGCGGGGAGGCACCCGCACAGGCGGACCCCGCCAGCAGAGAGGAAGACGACGAGAACAGAGGGCAGCGCACAGATGCCCGGGATGGAGAAACGGAGGAGGCAGAGGGCGAATGCAGGGAGGAGGACGAGAAGGGTGAGGAGGGCGCAGGGGAATCTGTGGAGGCGGCAGAGGAGGAGGAGGCGGAGGAGGAAGGTTTCACCCCTGGAAGGTGCTGACTTCCGGGTGGACTTCATATGTTATATGTTTCACTTCTGTCGTGTTGCCGGTGAAGGGCCTCGGCATGTACAACGTTTACTCACGAAACATTGTCACCAGACTATTTGCCGATCTTCTAGAAGCTCCGGCAGGCCTCTGGCGGCCCTCGGCGGCCTTCGGCAGCGGTCGGCCCCTGGCGTGCGAGGCCCTGGTCTTTCCAGCGCGCGGTCCCCGGAAGTCCCCCCCTCCCCCTCCTCCTCATCCTCCTCCTCCTCGTCCTCCTCCTCCTCCTCCTCCTCCTCCTCCTCCTCTAGAGGGACATGCCCGACGTAACGCTTGCAACGCACCGCCGCCGTGCCTGGCCGGAGCTATCCTGGGCCCTGGCGTGGCGCGCGTGCCTGCACGGCCGAGGCCGGCTCCGCAGAGAACCGCGGCGTCGAGCAGCGGCTGCGGGGCGGACTTGCCCCGCCGCGCGCCCCTGGCCCTCCTCCTCCTTCTGCCCTCTCCTCCTCCCCTCCCTCCCCCCCCTCCCTCCTCCCCCTCCTCCTCCACCTCCTCCCTCCCCCCCCCTCCCCCTCCCCTCCCCCCCCCTCTCCCCTCCTCCCCCCCCCCTCCTCCCCCTCCTCCCCCTCCTCCCGCTCCTCCTCCTCCTCCTCCTCCTCCTCCTCCTCCTCCTCCTCCTCCCTCCTCCTCCTCCTCCTCCTCCTCCTCCTCCTCCTCCTCCTCCTCCTCCTCCTCCCTCCCTCCTCCTCCCTCCCTCCCCCTCCTCCCCCTCCCCTCCTCCCTCCTCCCTCCTCCCTCCTCCCTCCTCCCTCCTCCCCTCCTCCCTCCTCCTCCCTCCTCCCTCCTCCCTCCTCCCTCCTCCTCCTCCTCCTCCTCCTCCTCCTCCTCCTCCTCCTCCTCCTCCTCCTCCTCCTCCTCCTCCTCCTCCTCCTCCTCCTCCTCCCCCGTCTCCGCCTCCTCGACGACGGCGCCGTCCGCCAGGGCGATGACGAGCACGGCGAGGCGCGGGGCAGGTGCGGGCGGGAGGACGCCATCTCGACAACTGCACCCATCGAGGCTGGGCCCATCCCGGACCCGGCCTCGGCCTGGCCAGGATCGGCGTGGTGGGTGCAGAGCTGGGGTTAAGTCGGGCGTGTCCCCCGACAGGGGGACTTTGGGCGAGACATGAAAGATACTCAAACATACCCCCCCAAAAATGGGCAGAACTGGTCAAGAAGTCGTCCCCACACTATGTTTTGACTAAGTATTGTTGAACCTTCCTCCTGCAGAGGGACAGGCCCGACGTAAAGCTGGGGCGTTCCCTCCGAGAGGGGATTCTCCCCCCGACCTGCGCGCCGGCCGCGCCGCTGTGCCCGCCGCCCGAGAAACTCGCACCCCGCGGCTCACGACGCTGTCCACGCTGGTTCGGCACCTTTGGGGTCCCGCCCAGGGCGCCCCCCCTCGTCGCCGCGGCGGCGGGGCCCGAGTGGAGAGGACAGCTCTTGGTTCTCCCCCTCCCAGGGCAGCCTCGGGGGGGGGGGGGGGGGGGGCGACTCTGCAGTGGTCGCCAGGACCTCCAGGTGCTGCCTTCGGGCGCCGACGGCCGTCGGGAAACGGCTCGCGACGACGACAGAGCGGTGCCAGGGGAGGGTCGAGAACTCCAGGACCCCACGTCTTGAGCAGCATCGTGACGCCAGAAGTCTGGGCCTCCTGACTCCTATCCGCCGCCAGAGAAGGTTGGCGAAACCTTGCAGCTCCTGCCGCTCCCCACTGCTTGTTCCCGGATCAGAGAGAAGTCTGAGATAACTTTCCCTGAACATGCGTTTGAGGTTGGGACGCGCGGCGATGGCGCTTCGCGGCCGATCTTATGCGCGTTTGGGGGTGCCCACGGACTTGGGAAATTCCTAGGTACTCATCTCCCTCGTCCACCTCCTCTGCCTCCCCCGTCCTCCTCTTGGAAGAGGGGGCGACCGATAACGGCCAAACGCCGAATGACGAACATCGGGCGACGAACGACGAAGACGCACGACGAGGGAGAGGATGATGACGAGGGAAGGGACCACATCGACTATCAAAGAACGGCAGAACGAGGACGGAGCATGACAACGCTGATGACAGGAGGCGGACGAACGTTTACAGACGACGCCTGACGGACGTCGGCGACGGACGACGGACGAAACACGTCGGCGATGACGGAGGGGATCCAGGGCGGCCTCTTTCTTGCGTTCCTGCAAAGCTGCTTCTTGCTCGACCAACCTCCTCGCCGCGCGCCGAAGGTGGGGGGCGTCCAAACCGTCGCCGACGCTGGGCCGAATGCTGCTGCTGCTGCTGCTGCTCAACCGTGCTCCATCCTCCCGCTCATGCTCCGCATCCTCTTCTTCTTCTTCTTCTTATTCTTCTTATTCTTCTTCTTCTTCCTTCTCCGGATCACCATCATCATTATTGTCAGCGACATCATCATCGTCAGCATCATTTAGATAATTGTTCTTCTCCTGCTCCTGCTCCTCATGTTCCCTCCCTTCCTCCTCCTCCTTCTCCTCCTCTTCATCCAGAAATTGTTGCTGCTAGAGCTGCTCCAGTCCTTCCCCCTACATGCCCTTCTACCTCCTCTTCCTCCTCCTCCTCTTCCTCCTCCTCCTCGCCTCCTCCTCCTCGTCCAGCTCCTGCCCCGCATCAGACTCCACCCCCTCCTTTTCTGACACCTGCGGCACTGGCGGACACAGCGGCACAGATGGGACCGACCACAACCGAGGTCAATTTTTCTGACAACTCCGACCCACGTTCGCCCCCTGCTCCTGCTCCTTCTCCGCCCGTACTTTTTTTACCGCGACTCCATTGCTACAACACTTAGTGAATCATCCACCACAATGCCGCAGGCACTTAGTGGAATCCTGGACCTCACAGGGTTGTTATATAAGTATGTGAGTTTATGAGCGCGTATACGTATACATGCATACTTGTTATATTGGTATACTAGCGCTCGTTACGTGGCTTCCCGGGGCCAGGCTCTTTTGCACGTTGTGAGACGCACCAGGACCAGGCGGCGATCAGAAGCCATGGGTCGGGCGACGGAAGAGATATGCACAGGCTGGCGCGCGAATTCACTTGCGCGGCCCGCACCCTCTCGCGAGGATCGGCAAAACAAGCTATTATCGGGATGGCATTGGGGAAAATGTCGAGCCAGAACGCGAGCACGTCCAACCTGTCGCAGACGCTGGGCATGCAGTTGCGAAAACTACCTGCACTTTTTAGCTTCCCTGGGCCAAGCTCTTCTGTGGCTTTTGGGACGCCAACAAGGCCAGGCGGGGATCTGAAGCCAGGGGCGGGGCGACGGAAGATATCAGCGCAGGCTGGCAGGCGAGCTCAATAGCGTGGCCCGCGCCCGGTCACGAATATACAACTGGTCGAAGGCCGAACATTCACACATCATTTCGTGAAGCATCAACACATAGCTAGGAGATGACGGGCCCGAACGGGCTGGATGGGATGGGTTTCGACGATGCACTGGGCCGCAGCCTGGGCGAGCGGGAGCTGATACGCCGAAGCGACTGCAGTCTTCTTCTGCCCCTGATCGTCGCTGCTGTCCAAACTCTCATACCGAGTATCCGTGCGGCTGTACAGGCCACGCTTACCTGTGCACCGATGCCGCAGGGCGAGCGTCGAGCAAGCGTGCCATGGCACGATGGTGGTCGCCTTGTTATATGAGGCGTTGTGCTGATACTGACGCAAGACAATATGACGACATGCCCAGCTCTGGAATAATCTCTGGAACTCGGGGCAAAGCCAGAGCTGGGATGTCCTTGGGTCCTTGAGAAAGACGAGCACGCGAGCGGCAATGCAAACGAGAAGCCGTTGGATTGTAACAGTGGCGATGCCCGCGCCCGCGCGGGCTTGCTCAGTACCAGCCAAGGCGGGCAGGCCAAAAATGAAGCGGTCAGACCTCAGAGGATGTCGCCAGGCACAGATCCAGCCCGTGCAAGGGGCGCTTAGCCAGACCGCGACGGCGGCGCGAGACTTGATCCAGCCGAGGACGGTGCTTCTGAAGGCAGGCGCCACGCGGTCCTCCAGAGGGCTGCGTCGCCGGTCCAGGCCGAACGCGCCGTGGCCCGCGTCCGCCACGGCAGCGGCGATCGCGCCAGCCCCGCACAACAGCTCCAGCATGGGCCGGCGCCGACGAGCCGGCGGGGCGCCGCGCGGCCGCCGCGGGCCGGCGGCGCGGCGGTGCTGCCGTCGCAGGCAGCGGCTCCCTGCCTCCGCTGGCGGGCCGCCTTGCGCGGCGCTGGGGTTGCCGGGCGCTGGCGGGCCCCGCGCCCGCTCCACCTCGCCGCGGCGCCCAGGAGCTCCGCGACCACGGAGAGCAGCAGCCCGAAGTGCTGGTGGCAGGCCACCGCCGCTGCAGGCGGCGCCGCCAAGTGGGGCCCGCGCAGCTTCGCCGCCTTCCCGGGCCCGAGGCAGCAGGCGAACACGACTCGGCGACCTCTGGGTCGGGCTCCTCGTCGGGGATTCCGTATGTCATCGCGAACGACCCCTTCTTCGACACGGTGTCCATCGGGCCGCCGTCTCTCTCGTCGCGGCCGCCGCCGGTGCTCGTAGTCGTCGCCTTCTGTAGCTCTTCCAGGAGCTTCTCCTGGACGGACAGATCCAACGCCGCTACAACTCCAGCCACTCCCGCTGGTCGGGTGTTGCTGGAAGTGTCCCTGGCACAAAGTGCCGCTAGGATTTTCAAGGAGACCCCCGCGGCCTCCAGAGCACCCCCCACGAAGCCCAGTTGGCACCAGGGGCTCTAAAAATGCAGTTTAAAACTGGGTGCGTCCTGGGTCAGCGACACCTTTGGCAACACCCGAGCTGGATGGGCCTTGACCGCGGCATTGACCGCGCCAGGTACGCCCGAGCCGGCGTCCATGGCGTGCCGAACGCCGCTTAAAAAGTCTGCAGGCGCTGTCCAGCAAAGATGGCACGCTGCCTCAGGCAAGAAGGTCTTCGGAGAGCGACAGGAGAACGTACGAGCAGGGGCAGAAGGGGAGGATGATAAGGGGGTGTAGGGGGAGCAGGGGGGAGTAGTAGCAGCAGCAGGGGCGGGGCAGAGGGAGGGGGAGCAGGAGGGGAGCGAGGAAGGATGAGAGAAAAGGAAATAGGAAGGGGGGAGGTGGGGGGACGGGGGGATGAGAACCAGCGGCAGGAGGAGGAGGGATGAGGGATCAGAGACCAGAACGACGATGAGGGCGAGGAGGGATGAGGAATGAGGCGGGGAGGATTCAGAAGCTGAGTAGGCAAGCCAAGAAGACGACGAGGGAAACTAAGATAGAGAGATGGTCGAAGGGAACAGGGGAATGATGGTAAGGAGAAGGAGGACGAGGTTAGTCGGAAGGGGGGAGGAGGCAGAGGCGAGATTCGAGCAAGAGTGGGCGGAATGAGGAGGATGATGAGGACAGGAGGGGGAGGATCTGAGGAAGGTGGGTCAGCAAGAGGAAGAGCAGGATGAAGAGGACGAGGTCGGATAAAGATGGAAAAGAGGAGCGAGGAGGAAGGCGGGAGGGAGCGAGATGGGATCCCACTGGCCCTCTGGGCGTAGGTGGTTTAGAGCACGATTCCTTCCCAGACCTTTTCTTCCCCTTTGGGCAGAGGTTACCCCTCATCCTACGTATCCCCTCCCCGAAGTTTCTGGACAAGGGCTCAGCGAGGGGTTGGAACATCCGAGATGGTTCCAAGATGGTCCAAGCAATCCAAAGGCCACCAGGGTGGCGCAAAACGGCGTAAGCATGTCAAACATTGACTCCAGCATGCCTCCAGACGGCCCCAACATTGCTTGAGTTGGCCAGGACGCGTCGCAAGGATGCCCCCGCGAGAGGGCAACATCGTCCACAAAAGAATTGATACGCGACCTCTGCCTCCTCGGAGAGGGAGGAGGCTCCCCAAGTTACCGGGGGCCACAAAAAGCTCCCAGAAGCCCACCAACTTCGAACCTCGATTCTCGTGACTGCCGTCGTCGTCGTCGTCCGCCTCCTGCAATCACAAAAGGAGGTCGGGAGACAACGCGCGCTCCCCCACCCCCACAGACGCCGCAGATCCTCCTCCTCTCTTCTTCCTGATTCTCCTCCTCCTCCCTGAGGGAGAGGGCCTCCCCAGCGGGGGCCGCGTCGTCCTCTGGAGGGCGGCGTCGTGTGTAGAGAAGTGCTCCTCCGAGGGGGGAGGGGGGGCAGAGGTGGCCCTCTGGAAGCGTGCCCCAGCTGCAGAGGACCGGCCGGGGGACGGGGGGGGCAGCTTGGTGAGGCTTCGGACTGCGCACAGACAGTCAACAGGCCCACGGAGTAGCCCGAGGCGGTCTTAACACACTGCACCGCCTGTGGCAGCGCCCCTTGGGCGCTCCGCACCCCCGGGTTGGGGTGTTGAGACCGCCCTGGGCTACTCGGGTCTGCGCACAGACAGTCAACAGGCCCGCGGAGTACAATAGTGCGAGGCGGTCTTAACACCCTGCACCGCCCGTGGCGGCGCCCCTTGGGCGCTCCGCACCCCAGGGTCGGGGTGTTGAGACCTCCCGGAGGAGGAGGAGGAGGAGGAGGAGGAGGAAGAGGAGGAGGAGGGGGAGGAGGAGGAGTCTACCTGGGTGGAGCTCTCCGTGTGCAGCCCGAAGGCTTACCAGTGGTCCACTGGAGTCCTCCTCCTTCTCCTGCTTTTCCTGCCGCTGTGAGAACGGCCTGGTGCCCGATGTTGGCTGGTTTGGGCATCTTCACATGCCTCCAGCAAGGGGTGATGATGCTGCTGATGATGCTGATGCTGATGCTGCTGCTGCTGCTGCTGCTGCTGACGACGACGACGACGACGATGATGATGATGATGATGATGATGCTGATGATGATGATGATGATGATGATGATGATGATGATGATGCTGATGATGATGATGATGGTGATGATGATGATGATGATGATGGTGATGATGATGATGATGATGATGATGATGATGATGATCATGATGATGCTGATGATGATGATGATGCTGATGATGATGCGGATGATGGTGATGGTGATGGTGATGCTGCTGCTCGCGCGATGGACCCCCCCAACCACCCTGTGCGCATGGCGTGGTGGGGTCTTCCCTGTGGGCGTGCGGTGGTGGGTATGGGGTCTGGCCCTCCCCTCCGTCCGGGTGGAGGAGGAGGATGACGACGACGACATCAGCGTCGGCATCGGCATCTGCACATGCATCGCCGTCCTCGGCATGACGCAAAACTTCTACCCTTGACGGCGGGGAGGTGCCAATCTGTAATCGTCGTCGTCGTCGTCGTCGTCGTCGCTCCCCCCATCCCATCTGGGGTGGGGGTGGGGTGGGGGGCGGCCAGAGGGACCCTGAGACCCGTCCCATCTGGGGGGGGCGTGGGCCCAGAGCCCGGGATCATATATACATACATATATATATGTACACATGTATATACATACATACATGTAGATCAATGTGTCTACAGACCTTGTATGGCTTAGTGGCGTTTCGGCTCAGACATTGCATTTCCAGAATTTGCGTTCACACGCTCGGTTTTCCCCAAGAGAATTTGCGTTCACACGCTCGGTTTTCCCCAAGAGGCGGGCGCCATTCACAGCGAGCGGCTTCAGTATGGTCTGGGCAACGAGCAAGCGACCACATTGCGGCGACGAAGAAGCTGATCCTGCTTTCTGGAAACGAAGGCGGCCAGCAGCAACGATAATGGGCACACATGGGGTTTCATCACAGCCCGAAATCCCGACCTCGCGCCACATACTCTCGCAAGACCCTGTCCGCAAGCGGACTGCCAACAGCATCGGCACGGCACTGGCTACAAGCACCAGCGCGCTCGTATCATCTCCCCACGGCTCCACTGCGAGAACAGACGGGGTTGGGCTCCGCGTGCAACGCCCCTTCGGCGTCGACGTGGCCACACACAGTCAACCTACGACCGCAAGGAACAATGGATAAGGAAGGAACCCCTCGTTCAGCCCCGAACGCGCCTGGGTACGAGAGGAGCGCTGGAGGCACAACCATGGAAGGTAAGGTCAGGTGAACCGCTGGAGGCAACACAACTCGTAGTGAGCACTCAACAGCTCACGACGTGCTAACGGAGCCCCTGCGCAGGCAAGCTAGCAGCATCGAAAGGGGCACTGCACGAGCTGCTCGCATGCTAATGGAGCTCCTGCGCAAGTAAACTGTGGAAGGACCTCAAGAGCGCACCCTTCCGAACTCGAGCTGCGGAGCACTTCAACGCATCGGCTGCACGCGGGCTTGGGCCTGCCAAGAACTTACCAAACTCTTTCCCGGGCCTGTCCTCGGCCCCGGTCATCCCCAACTAGGGCTCCCAACTTCGCGCTTCGCGCTGCGCGAAGCGCGAAGCGCGAATAACTTCGCGCTCTCGCGCCGCCCCCCCAAAGGGAGAATAGGAGGACGAGGAGGAGGGGGAGAAGGAGCGAGGACCGCGAAGCGCGAAGCGCGAATAACTTCGCGCCCTCGAGGGAGCCCTTGCCCAAAGCCGGTCGAGGCGTCGCCGTCAAAGCGCCGGTGCTTCGCAGAGTCCTCCTCGCCCTGGCCGCTGGTGTCCTCCTCGGGGCTCCGCGGCTCTTCCGCGCTGCGCTCGGGGCTCCTCCTCGGGCTCGGGGCTCCTCCTCGAGCTCCTCACCCTGGCCGTTGGTGCGCTGGTGTCCTCCTCGGGCTCCTCGGGCTGCTCCCCAAAGACCGACCCCCGAGCTTCAGATGCCCAAGGCCAGGAGCTCAGCGGCGCCGTGCCGCTTGACATAAGACATCCTGGGGCACGTTCTTCGAATCTTGGAGGACCCTAATGCCTAATGTGACCCAAGGTTTCTGTGGGTCATGGGGGCCATCGGGGGGTGGGTATGAAGTTCCAGTGGGGAACCTGCTTGCTGGCCGATGTCCTATTTGATGTGCCCACTGTAGAAGAGTAGCGCGTCGGTGTCGGCGAAGTGCGGCGTGTCCACGATGTACACGCCCGTGCAAATCTCGAGGGAGTCATCAGTCTGGTTCGTGCGCATGTTGGCGCGGCACCGGCGAGGCCTGGAAGCCTGCAAGGCTGGGAGGCGAACCACTGGGGGCACAGCTGGGAGAGCATTCGGTCAACACGCCGACGTCGTACGCGGTGCGGAGAATCTCGATGGGGGCCGCAGTGGTACACGCCAGACTCA